GATGGACGGATGGATGGATGGATGGATGGATGGATGGATGGATGGATGGATGGATGGATGGATGGATGGATGGATGGATGGATGGATGGACGGATGGATTTATGGATGGATGGATGGATGGATGGATAGATCGATGGTTTGGTGCATGAATGGATAAATGGATGGATTGAAGGATGGATGGATGAAGGGATGGGGTTTAGATAATGGGCAACAGAGCTAGTTTCAAATTAATTTAGTTAATTTGATAATCGCTAATTCACAACACAAGTCATCTCAAGACACTTTACATAAACAATTCCATCAGATCAAATGGTTAAAAAAAATTCCCATTTGAAGAAAACCATCTGATTGCACAGAGTCGTTGACTTGCAGGACACAACCTTTCTGGATAAACATGTGGTGACAGTAGATACAGAATCATGTAGCTTAGAGTTTCCCTTCCCTCTTTAACCTTTTAACTGTCATGAGCATATCAGTCTCCTCACAGAATATATTTCTGACTTCCAATCAAAGAAAAAAAGGGTTCCTTTTACTAAAAAAAAAAAAAATTGACAACTCAGAAAATTTTAAATGCTAACTTATTTGGGGTAGGAGTTAAGGATTTAACTAAAAGCAATCTAGCTAATAACATTGCAGCTTGAAGGAGTAACATTAAGTCAACAGATGTACCTTCAAGGTGTCCCAGGATGGCCCGTGTTCAGAATGCATAATAGACTAGATTCATAGGCCACTACTGGAAATGGTCTGAAGAAAACCATTAAGTATGTCATTAGCTCTATGTAGTGTTGCATTATTGGATGACCCAGGATGAATGGCAGTACCATGTGTGACTAAGTGAGAGACAGAATCATCAAGTATTGTATTATTAACTAAGATGAAAATGGACTGCTGAAAGTATTCTGGAATCCTCCTTTCAGGTGATATCACCTTTTGCATTTTTATGGGAAATAAAATTTCCAAACACTTGATGAGTCTTGGCGAGGCAGAAAAAAAAATTCCAAGTTGTGTAGGGTCAAGTTGGAATTTTCCTATATCAGTGATGATTTAGAGATACATACTAGGCTCAGACACATAAAGCCTCCATCTACTGATGCCCCTTTTAAGCTGCGATTTCATTGTCTATGTCGAATTGATTTCTGCCAAGACTACTAAAAGTAGCAATACAGTACCAGCTTTCTTCACTGTAGTATCACAGTGCTGGTTGGTTGGCAAATAGCCTAAATTACAGCCTGATAAACCAGACCAAATGTGAGATTAAATGTGTCATTTAGTCCTGATGAATGAGACATCGGAAGATTTTTGGTGAGAACAACCCATTGTCTTTAAAACTGCTGTCTGTGCCTATTGGCCAATGCTCTGACCAATGAGCGCAAGAAAGCTGGTGGGGGAGTGTAAACAAACAGCCTGTTGTAAAACGGCGAATACGTCCTTCTTAAAAATGAATGAGCGTAGAGCCTCTTACTGCTCACGTTTCAACGAAAACCCCAAGTCTAATTCTTCCAAAAATGATTCTAAAGCTGAGTCAAACGAGAACTGTTCAATAGTTGTTGCCATCTTTCTTCAACAATCAAAACACATCTCTGCATTGTGATTGGCCCGCCAGTTCTAGGGCCTCGGGCATTGTGTTGAGGCTTGACCCACTCACAGGCAAAAATGATTTTGGCCGCTTGTGGGTGGGTTTACTAGGCTACCAAAATTAAGCCTTGTGGAGAATCCTTAGAGTATTCTCAAGGGAACCAAAAATGTAGAGGGGCTATAGGCCACTGGTTAGATGATGTAGACTTCAATAACACTTCAGCCAAACCACAGTCTAATTGCCTCCATGTTGCCAAGTGTTAGGACTTTTCAATGTTTTTTATGTAGTTTTTTTTTTCATTGGTTTTAAGCAGTTCAAATTACTCAATGGATAAATAAATGACTTCAGCAATTCATTGGTAATGAAACCGTATAATGTAAAAGTAAAATTTTTGGAACCAAATAATTAAAAAAATTGCTTTATGTTCTATATTACCAGTTAGATTTATTCAGATACATTTACTGGACTAACTTGGTTTCGTTTGACAACGTTGTATGATAAAATATCACTACTCTTGAGTAAAATATCTGATTACTCCATCCATTGTGAGTAAGTTCACTTAAAAAAAGAAGTTTGTTTTAAACAAATATGCATCATTGAGAAAAAGTCTTTATATTTTGTATTTAGGGCTTATTGTTCGTCTGCTGAGTCTGCTGTGTGATTTGGAGCTCAGTTAAATATGCAGTAAATGGTTTACTGTTTTTTAACGTTTTACATTCTGTAACCGCTGGTTTTGTACATTTCAGTTAAAAAATAATAATTCAGTTGTTATGAGCATGGGTAGTAAGCAGATCAGTTACTCAGTACCTAATAGATACTTTTTACTTTTGTTTGAGTAGAAATATGATGAAGCAATGCTACTGTACTCTTACCGTACTTAAGTACTTAAATACTCTACCCACCTTTGCAAAACTAAAACCGCTCTCTTTCTGAACCCAGGAATTCCCGTGGAGGACAGAGTGAACATTTTCATCAACAGCTTTGGCTCGATTCAGGAAACAACCATGGTGAGAATTTACTCTGCTTGCTTTGTAGTGTGACTATAATGAAAAGTCTTACTTCTGCAGATCAACAAAAACATTTAGAACTACCGGTACTCTAACATAGGTGTTTAAGGAGTAATAAAGAAATAAATATTTAGTAATGGGGTTTAGAACAGTGAGAAATAAATCATTATTGAAAGGACAAGTTTTTGAGTCTCCTTAATCTGATAGCTTAATTGCAGATAAAGATGTAGAGTTCTAAAGCTAAGCACCAGATTAAGCTCAAAGCTCCACAGGGCAACCTTAATACAGGGACCAAGACAACTAAATTTACCAAGTTTGTGAAAACAAGCAAAGGATTTGATTTCAATTTCATGTAGCTACAAGTGAAGACATTTTAAATGTAAATATATAAGAAAATATAAGTTTTCTATAAAGGTTGGGCCTACTGAGTTGCTACAGGAAGCATAGTTTTTGCTGGTTTTGCTTACGAATAGTTTTTATGTGAGGATAATCTCAGTTCCCAATAAAGGATGATTTCTAGTAACCAGAATTTGTGCAAAATCGATGGTGTTCTTGAGAACAATGAGCGGATTCAGTGTCTGGCATGTTTGTCTTCTCTAATGTCTTGAGCTGCTTAAGCTCCAGGTGGCTCTGATGGCACCAGTAGATCAGATGATACAGTCATAGAAACCTTTACGAGAGCTTTGCGAGTTGAAAGAGCACCACCTCATTTTGTGTTTTTTATGGTTCTTAAAAGCTGCTAAAAAATAAATAAATAACCAGTGCTCATTTATAAACATATTCCAAGCCAAGTCTCTTAACTAAAATGATGGGTTCAGTTCAAACATAGTATCATCATTCTGAATCAGTTAATTTCCTTTAAGGGAATTTAAAATCATGAGATGAAGTTCCATGGAAGGCGAGAGGTAGAGAAGGCACAGCTGCATCCTGCGCAGTAATCTTTTATGAAATATAGTGATTTGCAGCTTCTGCATTCGTTCAATCAGCAACAGACACATGTTGCATGCAAGCTTTGCTGATTTGCCATCGATGGTTTCCCTGTCTGGTAAGAAGGATATAAAACAGGAAGACAGAACAATAATGTCAGGAAAGGGAGGAGGCATGTTTATGTGATGAAAAATACGTTTTATTGCATGGCTGTAGTACTGTATGTGATAAATTAAATAAATTGTGAATACGCTACTAAAAAACAAGTTGCACAGGACCAAAATGCTACAAGTTACTGAATAAATATACCAGTTAGTCCACAATAAAGATAAAACACAATGTAAGATCAATATTTTAGTATCTGCAGTAACTCTATTTCTAATAGAATTATTGTATATTTTATAAATAAATAACAAAATATGTTTTAGATTTTTAGACTCATATGATGTTTTCTTCCACATCTATTTAATTATGATTTAGATTATTAAAGTGTTAGTAGGTAATTTGATAAAATGTGGGCTGAAGAAAGATCAAATTGAAACTCAAGAGATCCTTCAGGCTGACCGTGAGTCATGTCTGGAAATTTTGAAATGAATCTTGTACCCAGCCTGCTTCCTTTTTAAAAGTCTCAAAATATGTGACATGCCCATGTTGTTCCTTTTGCCCTGCTAATTGAGAAAATGGAATTTTCTCTTCACTTCATGAATTTCATAATACAGCACAGCTATGTATACAAAACACAAAGGTGAAAAAACAGAAAGCATCACTGGTATATTGATGTTAGATGTCTTAAAGATTTTGCAGCTTAAAGGTTACTGAATCATGGGCTAGTGTTTCATGAAACATTAATCTTTCTCTATAGCCAGTCATGTTAATCAATATACAGCAATTCTAACATTGGAAATCAGACTGTATAACTTGGCAAACTTTAGTGAAAATATCCATGGCCTTTGTTTTAGAGGGTATGTTTCCCTTTGCTGGAAACTAAATGTATAAAATGTATAAAACATTTACTGTTCTCTCTGCCCCTCGTGGTGCACTTGAAAAAGTTATTCTCCCATACGCCTTCCTATAAACCTCTAGATTTTAGTACACTGACCTGGATGTATTATTCTGTGAATACCTTATGTACTGTAGTTTCAAATTGATGTAATAACATACAGTAGCATGCTTAAAACTTTATTATTCCATTTTTTTTTTACTCCCACTCAAAATGAAAACATAGCATAGGCAGTGTACCACTGAGACAATGCTATGTTGATATAGGCGTCTTCAATGGACCACTTTTCACAGCGGCTTGCATATGTTTAACATCTATCTATCTATCTATCTATCTATCTATCTATCTATCTATCTATCTATCTATCTATCTATCTATCTGTCTGTCTGTCTGTCTGTCTGTCTGTCTGTCTGTCTGTCTGTCTGTCTGTCTGTCTGTCTGTCTTTGCAGTTGATTAGTGTAACTTGGAGGTTAATAGTGAGTGATGGAATATCACACAACCACACATACAAAAGCGGAGACATAGGAGAAGACTGAGCAGAGAGAAATATTAAGACAGTAAAAGTGAATAAAACAGGCAGCGTGAACGTTTTGAAAATCAAGGCGATTGAAGAAAGTGTCTACTAAAAGCAAGATCAGACGAAGACGAAACCAGAAAATGACAGGTGTGAGGAAAAAAATTAATGCGAGCCAAGAAAATGGCATAGAAGGAAAATGAGAGAAAAGTCCCAAATGTTTCTTTCTCCCTCTCCTGGGTTTGGCAAAACACAATGAAAGTTAAGAGGGTTTGAAACGATTCATGGAGGAGAAAGAAACAACAGCTGGTCACCTCTCCCCCCTCAATTTATCACTCTATGGGGTATATGACTCTGGAAACCATCCCTCATCATTTACACCTTACTCAGGGCAGCACACAGCAACAGTCTGCAGTATTTAACGCACCAATTTTCACTTCAAGATTGTGTACTGTACACCTCTGTAGAAAATGATGTTGATGCTGTTGAGACAGAATAAATTGCAGCTATGTTTTTACTGCCGCCCAGCTTGACTTTTCCTCGCTGATTACAACACACAGTAGTGTTAAATCTCCCTGGAATCGAATGTCGTACTGGCAGCTTGATACTGAGCCAGGAGGAAGATATATTTCCTCGTCTGGTTTTCAGGAAGGATAAGGTGTGGGAATTGGCTTGCGTCTCAGACAAGAAAAAAGCTGGCAGAGGCGGTTTGTGTGGACAGACACACGAGTTTAGAATTATGGTGGCATACAAAAGACAACTTGCTTTCTGAAAGCAGAGCAAATGGACCTCATGCTTCCATCTTAATGTCTGAATGTATTTTATTAAGGCTGAACTCACAAAGCTCCAAAACACCACATTTGATACAATCATGTTTGTTAAATGACTGTAAAATTGAGCTCCAATAGATAGATATAGACAGGCAATGTAAGATTTTTCATGTGAAAAAAAAAAAAAAAAAAAAACTTGCTTTGGAAGCTTTATGATATATTTAACAGTTTATCCAGCTTTACTTTCAACATTTATTCCTCACTAAATCAAAGAACAGAGTAGTTTAGCTAAAGACCCGCAAGAATGTGGAGATTTCACTTACAAGCAACCCTAATGGCGTCAGTTGTCATGTTGATAAAATCTGACCTCTGAGCTGTGCAGCTCTTTATGTTTCATCATGCTTGGGATCAGCATCTGCTTGTTTTACCTTTACCTTTGAAAAAATGTTAAAACGTGAATTTTCAATCAGAGGAAGTAACCGATCTTGCGGATACTGAATAGTCAAAATTGCTTTTTATTTATTTATTTGTTTTTTATTCAAAGTTTAACTTGCCTCTTTTGAATGTCACTTGCAATTAGGTTTTTAAACACTTTCCTGTTTCAGAGCAAAAGTTTCTTTGAGGTGGAATATCAACTACGTTTGTCTCTTTCTACTATTTTACTCTATTTTATTTTGTCCAGAACTGTCTGCTTGAAACATAACCATGTTTGAACTTGTCTGGTTTCAAACCTGACAGGATTACAGGGTGAATATCTTCCTGCGGCAGCGCTGGAATGACCCCAGGCTCAAATTACCACAAGACTTCAAGTCAGATTCTCTCACTGTTGATCCCAAGATGTTCAAATGTCTCTGGAAGCCTGATCTATTCTTCGCTAATGAGAAGAGTGCAAACTTTCATGATGTAACTCAAGAGAATATCCTCCTCTTCATCTTCCGTAACGGAGATGTCCTCATCAGTATGAGGTACTTTTATTTACTTACTTTCTTGTTTATTTTGTTGGTTTCCTTGTTTCTAGTTATTTTATTAAAAAAAGAATGACAAAAGTGTAATATCTGTAAAACCAATGCCTAGGCCTCCTTAGTCCCTTAAAATGTGTTGTGTTTTTGAATGTCACTTCTATTACAATTTTTATTTCTTTATTACTTCCATACTTACTTGTAATATCCCACTTGGGCTACTGAAAAGGGCTCTCCAGGCATCAAAGTGAGTTTTTCTAAATGCTCCCAATATTGACCTGGATGCTATTTACCCTAGCATCCAGGTCGGCCTCCCTTTTTTCCAAGGGTGTTCCACAAAGTGGACAGTCTGACAATGTTTAAATCAAGTTTGTGGAGAGTATGTCCTATAAACCTCTCAAGAATCTCTTGGAAGATCTCTTCATGACCTGGCCTGTGATCTCTGGCCTGTGCCTTGCCAGAGCTCTTGGTTGCTTATCACCTTGGGCCAAAGGATCTAGAGGAAGCATCGCAGACACACGTTATTATAAATGTCTGAATCTTCATAAATGCCTGAATCTTCATGATGTTGCTAATAGTCGTCCTCCAGTTTTCAGTGCCATACAGCAACATTGATGTCACATTGGTATTAGAGAGCCTAGTTTAGATAGTCAAGTCTCATGAGCTCCAGATGTTCTGATAAAGAACGGCTGTCCTGGCCTTTCTCTTGTACCTTCCACCCTGCTTGTTGACAGTGCTGCCAGGGTAGGTAAAATTGTTAACTTTTTCTGGTGCTTTACTGTTCAACAAGATGGGTGATGTGTTGGCAGAGTTTATTTCAAGAGTTGGGTCTTTCCTTTGTAGATGTAGTCCAAGTCATTGGAAGATGACTGCCATTTTGCCTGTTTTGTCCTGCATCTGCTGCTGTTGGAGGGTTGGGTCAAGTCATCAGTGAAGTCAAGTCCATACAGTTGTGTCAAATAGATACCAATCCCTGATGTGGACTACTTTTTAACCCAGTCAATGCCAGCAGGAACAAAAAGATGGTGTTAACGAACAGCCTTGCTCACTCATCTTTTATCCTTATCTTGTGAAAAATTACTATGTAAACATCCCTTCAACATTTCATGATTGAACTGTTTATCTAGGGTGAAGATATTTATTTATGTAATGAATGTCTACCAAATTAACTTTTTGATTACTTTTTAATTACTTTGCTAAATGAATGAACAGCGATTAAAATCAATCATACAAGCAAATTAAGGGGATTTAACATATTGTTCGATTGCCACCCATTATACCTGCTTAAAAATATTTCATCATATTCCAACCTTTGAATATATAATAATATAATAATTGCTTCTCTTCTTTGAGTCTGAACCAGGATGATGCCAACGTAAACAGAGAAAACAAATAACTGTTGAAATGCATAGCGTGATTTGGTATATTACCAATATAATGTGGCTTGTTTATCACGCTTTGTTTGAACAAGACAACGTGTAACACCAGTATTACAACTAGAGGCCTGAACACAACAGTTGTGTACGACTTTTTAATCTTGGATCCGACTTTTTTTTCATGTCACACTAACTGTATAGAGAGGCTCCGACTAGACAGGGTGAGCAGATCTGCACAGATTTCTTTTCACTTCTGTCTCTGTGCCACCCAAAATGAAAACAATTTACCACATTTGCCTTGGACTGATTATAAAAGTTATAAAAAGTAGCAAAAACTATTAAAAAAAATACAACCACGTTCTATTTAGCAAAGCCCCACAGAACAGATAGAGAATGTTCATATGCCTATATTAAAAACATAATGAGATCTATGTCTAAAGAAAAGGAAAACAGTGATAAACTCTTTGGGACGGTTTAAACAGTAGTCTGACTGAGGCAGTGAGAGGGGATTCTCAGAGTGAGATCTGGAAAGTTTATTCAAGGTTTTCTTTTTTTTTTCATAAAGTGGTGAGAGAGATTCACCGTGCTCACCTGTTCTCTCTGTCCCTCGTTATTTTGGTTTTTGTGAGGCTCAAAGAGGATTACTATTATACTATGTGTTTTTGGTCTTCCTGAAGTTACTTTCTTTAGAGGAGATTGATAAAATATGCTTTCTATTCCTCATTGTTTTTGCAAGGCTCAAAGAGGATTGCTAGCTTATCTGTTTTCTCTCCTCCTAAATTCCTATCATGGGTAAAGTGTTCTTTTCTAATATTTCATACATTTTTTTTTGCACTATATGCAATGTGCGACTCCAAAAATGACTGTTTTCTCATGCAATTAACATATTTTATTTTGTATTTTCCCCCAAAGCAGATGTGTTTTACTTTTTAACTGCTTCTCTCTTCCTGTTAGACCCATGAAATTACCAATGAATTTCTGCATAGTCAGACTTAAATAGACCTGGGGTCTATCTCAATCAGACCTACACAAGCTCCCTTGCATAAAATCGTGGCAGGTGTGATCATCCCCATTGACTTTCAATGAGCGCTACACGCCACAATCTCGTCCGACACGATTTTGTGTCAGATCGAATGCAAAAATCGGATTTGGTGTGTTCTTGCCTTTAGGCTTGTATGTGTTTGTGTGGGGATATACTCAGAGGGAGATGAAGTTTTTAAAGCTCAAATTTCTTTGTTGTCATCCTCTTCAAGGTTGTCTGTTACCCTATCTTGCCCATTGGATCTGACCCTGTTTCCAATGGATACGCAGAGATGTAAAATGCAACTTGAGAGCTGTAAGTAAAGAAAAAAAAATCCATATACATATATGTATTTATTTACTTCATAGTTTGCAAGCAAAACTGAAACTCAAATAGATAAATGTGGTTTAGTCTTACAGCTAATCAGGCCTGACCTTAGTGATGGCATTTTATTTAGTACCAGGCCAAGTAGAGTCAAATTCAGAGCCACATCAGGTTGCTCTAACTCATTCTATTTTTTAAAATGAATTTGTTCTAAAAAAAAATGTTTTTATATACATTGCATATTTTAATGTTTGAGTATTAATTGGGTAACTTGATTTTCCAGTCGGCTACACAACAGATGACCTGCAGTTCATGTGGCAGACAGGGGACCCGGTCCAAATGGACGCTATTGCTCTCCCACAGTTTGACATCAGACAAGAAGACATTGATTATGGGAACTGCACCAAATTCTATGAAGGAACAGGTGATGCTTTTCATAAAATATTTCCATGAAGTTAGTTTTTTGTTAGAGAAAGAAAAAACATCTGTAATTTTTCTCATAGAACCTCTGAAAGTCATTACATTGAAAGATTCTTCAAAAAAAAACATTTGTTTAGTTCTGTCCAGGAATCTGTAGACATACTCTCTCAGATTTCTATTTTCATATATTTCTTACACTTATCCTTAGAATTGTCTCATTTAAGTTGAAGTGTGTGGTATATATAATATTAATAAAACAAATATTATAAATACAGAACTTAAATCTAGTTAAAAATTTTTTTATCTACTTTTTTCATCTCATAAAGCATTTTATTCATTAATAATCATGGACGAAATATTTTCCTCATTTTTGGTTTCTATTGTGTCATTATGCTGGCTCCTCATTAGATTTTTGACCGTTGAATGCAGAATAAGAAAATACAATCATCCAAGATAGAAACTTACATCAAGTAACTGGTGCTGTAATGGGTAGCAGAGTTTATCTGGAAAAAGGAAATTCTGCTGAGGTTGACCTGTGTTATTCAGATTATTAAGCCTTGGTGTAGTGAAACAAATGTGTTTTACACAAACCCATCTGAAAACATTTGCAAATAATTTCATTTTAAAACAGAAAACAATTTTCTTTAATATTGACTGGCTTTTTTCTGCTGTTTGTATTTAGTGCTTTAAACAGCAGCCAGTTGAATAGATTAAACACAACACCGCCTGTCTCACCACTGATATTGAAGTTCAAATGTTTTTTTTTTATTAATAAAAATGCTCCCTTTACCAGATCTCACAGCTTTTTAAATGGAGAAGACCTGCTCTTGATGAGTCAGGCCGCTACCTGGTTACCATGGCTACCCACCAGATATAGAGATCGTGTCTGTTTCAACTGGTTTGAGCTTGCTTCATGACACAGCCAGCTTTTATATAAGCGCTGAAGAGAATCATGAGTTTTTCAGATATTAATTCACCTCAGCTATTCTCCCTGGATCAACCACATAGACGCATTTAATCATTTAGTTGCTCTTGGGTGAGAAACACATTAATCAGGAAAAAGGTTGGAGCCTGGTACACCTTTTTAATACCTAATATTATTTTTTAATAGCTAAATAGTTCATGCTGCTGTGATTAATTATTATTAAAGTGGACATTTTTACATTCAAATACCCACACAGAATCCTAATTCAGTTTATAACATGTCTTCATAACAACATTCAACTTAATCTTTCATTTTACAAAAGCTGCCACAATCTTTACCCAAGGATTGAGCTTATTTTATAGGGTTATTGTCTGAATTAGATCCTGAGGCTCTGTTCATTGTTATTTTAAAATTCACTACTTATGCATATAGGCCTATGTGATTTTTAATTAAGGCCGTTGTGATATTTGAGGGTTTTTATCTTCTCCACATAGGGTATTACACTTGTGTAGAGGTTATCTTCACCCTACGGAGACAAGTGGGTTTCTACATGATGGGTGTTTATGCCCCGACGCTGCTTATAGTGGTTCTTTCCTGGCTGTCTTTCTGGATCAACCCTGATGCGAGTGCTGCCAGGGTTCCCTTAGGTAAGTTCATTTCACCAAGTCCAACATATTCCACTGATATTTACAAGGACATCAATGCTGTAAACTCCTATTCTGCTCTTTTAGCCGCTACTTTTGCAGTGCAAAAAGTAGGCGAGTGAACGAAAACATTTTTACAGGTCATCATAATTGTTAAAAAAGAAAAAAATACCTGGAATTTTGTAAAAATATTAAACTACTCTATTGTTTAGATTAAAAAAAAGCGATATTCCTTTAAGCCCTTATTTTCTGTTAATGCTGATAATGACCTACAGTTGAGAAAAAAAACACAGTTTAGATTTAATATAACATCTGAATAATTAATTATGCAAAATAATTCCTGGCTTTTATAAGAAATATATTTTTCGGTACATAAACCTACTTTTCTGTAGTCTCACTTGTCTATGATGCCATCCTTAGCTTTACTAGTTATTTTTATTAGCTTTTACTAAGACAGTTTTTATTAGTTGAATTAACAAACATATAGGTTTTCTCAATATGTGTGTAACACTGTAGCTAGATATAAAATAAATACTACCTTTTAAAAAGAAATACATGAAAAATAAACATTTTTATGAAATCTGCATGTATTTCTGAATAATCTAACTGTATATTAAAATACAGGCTCAGAAGAATTCATGTAATAAAAAGAAATGGACAAAACTGGAGGAGATGAAACACAGAGACCACTCCAAAGGTGTTTGGAGGTTTCAAGGATTTCCCACATTATTGCCTCCAGTCATTCCCATCATGAAATAATCAATCACTTGGACACCATTAGGAACTTTGCATGTGAAGTATGGCTCCCTTTCCAGTTTTTGTAATGTGTAATAAATCACTAAATGTTGCTCTAATTGACAGCTGGAACCCCCCTTAGTGATGCATTTATCTACTATAGTACCTCAAACCTGTTGTTGAACATGGGGATGGATTCCTTATTAGTAAATGACAGAACATTCAATTTTGTAAAGTAGATCATTTTTAATTTAAATAAAAATATATTTTTTTATTAACTTATTAAATGATTATCCATCCATAATGCAGTTTTGTATAACATATAAATTATACAAAACAGTTTATATAACATTACACACACACACACACACACACACACACACACACACACACACACATTAGTTGAAAGGTGGATTAATCCAAATTAACAACAATACATATATATATATATATATATATATATATATATATATATATATATATATA